TTACACAAAAAGGGTTAGCATTTACTATTAGTGTTTAAGGATTGAGACATAGATTTATTGATATATGGAAGTACGCTGTTTTCTTACCTGAAATGAGATTTCAGACAGTAATTGTAGTCATATAACATAGTGACCTAAGTTATTTATAGTCAGAACTTATCATTAAGTAACTAAAACAGCACAAAGTTCTTAGTCATGGTTTCTAAGATCCAACTCTAGCTGTAGTGCAGTAGTTTTTGTGTGTATATACTGGTTGAAACTCTGAAGCGAACTGATGACTTGCATCCAGTTAAAAGATCAGGGAGCTGTGAGACTTGCTGCTAGCTCATCTGGGCCAGCAAGCCAATATGTCTTGGTAATGGATTGAATGAGCACTCTTGCTGACAACTCTATCAAATGAGATACTTTAAAGCTAAAAAAAGACTTATGAATGCTTATGTTGCAAGGAATGATATACCACTAACTCCTCGGAGTGGTATGTAGCCAGAAGTTATACTTACAGGATGTTGAAATAAAGCCAGAAATCTCAAAAGAAGAGACAGGTCTCTGGCTGCTGTGTTTATAAATACACAATTGACTTCTTGTACTGGGACATCTAATGGAAGTGTTGTTGTTTTATTACCTTGGTAGAGCAAAAACATATTTATCTTATAATTGGTAAATACTGTCTTTGCCCTTGAGAAAAATTATCCATGAAGGACATTTACTATAATCAAGAAAGCATTCTATTGAGTACTGGATTTAACTTGCGATATTTAAATGAACCCTTCCTCCTTCATGCAGCCTTTTGAAATAATATACTTATCATGTGAATTAATGTTTACTAACATTTTATGTCCCCTTGAAGTCAGTCACACAAGATGTTAACCGTTACCATAAATCATAGAATGGTTTAGGTTGGAAGGGACCGTAAAGATCATCGAGTTCCAACCCCCTGCCATGGGCAGGGACACCTCCCACTAGACCAAGTTGCCCAAGGCCACGTCCAGCCTGGCCTTGAACACCTCCAGGGATGGGGCCTCAACAACCTCTCTGGGCAACCTGTTCCAGTGCCTTACAGTCCTCAAAGTGAAAAGCTTCTTCCTAATGTTTAATCTAAACCTGTCCTCTTCCAGTTTAAGGACATTCCCCCTTATCCTACACGCCCTAGTAAAAAGTCCTTCCCCAGCTCTCCTGTAGGCCCCCTTTAGGTACTGGAAGGCTGCAATAAGATCTCCCTGGAGCCTTCTCTTCTCCAGGCTGAACAGCCCCAGCTCTCTCAGCCTCTTCTCATAGGAGAGGTGCTGCAGCCCTCGGATCATCCTCGTGGCCCTCACTGTATGTACATGTGATATTAGGTCTGCAAATTGAGCATCCAGATAAAGAAACTCTTCCAAACTGCTTTTCGATTACTTATAAGACTGGGAGTTTAGTGTGTCAAACCTAAAAGCAGGTGGTGTGAATTAACTGAGGATACAAATAGTCTGTGGGAATAAAGTGAATAATCTTTTTCTTTTTTTTTGTTCAGAATGTCAAATCTGAAAGTACTTAATTCTTCACAGAGAAATTACAGCTGCTGTAGTGTACAAGATCAGGGAATACATTGGTGGTTATTCATACTGCAGTGGGACTGATAGTATAACTTAGAAAAGCAGCCTCAGTTGAGTTAGCATCTTCTGAGGAAAGGTGAATTAACTCTGCCATTTCTTCTCGCTATTTCTATTGGTAATTGTTTTTCAATTTTTCTTTTTTTTCCTTTAAGAGAATGGGATGGTGATCTGAGGAAACTGCCAAACATCAAAATGAAAAAGCTGTCAGCTAGGGATGCTGCTTGCAGTGAGCCTGAGGTGGCAGATGTGGAAGCTAAAGAAGAATTGAATAAAGCAGAAGAGGTGGCCTTATGAGCACCAGCTGATTCAAGAGCTGAAACAGCTGAAGGGAATTGTAAGAAACCTATTTTAATTATCACGGAAACAAGAATAAATTCTAACTATATTTGCAAGTGCTTTGCTAGTTGCATTTTTTATGAGTTCACCGTGTACCTATGGTAAAGAGTAAACAGTATATTATTTGGTAAAGCTGTATATTATTGGATGAAAAAAATTGAATTAAACAAATACTTAAAATCTTAATTTTGTCCTTACTTCTCATACTATACCTTCTCTTCAGGATGCAGGCTCCTGAATAGACAAAGCAATTGTTTATATCTTGAAATCCTGACTAGCTGAGTACCTCTTCCCTGGTCATAGAGCAGTTAGGATTAGGACACCTGTTAGAAATACTATGCGGTGGGAGATTCTTACCTTTTCTTGGTAATGTCAAGAATGTATATCATTTAGTATACAAATAGCAGGTACCCTGCTAAACAGTGAGGCCAGATAGTGGCACCTTTTATCCATCTCTTGTGGTGGTGGCTGGAGATGTCTCTAGGTGTATGCAGTTTTGTGGAGAGCAGTAATAGGCCTCATCTCACAAAATCCTGTGCTCTGTGGCACTGAACGCTCACCTTGGCTATAAGAAATGCTCTTCTACTTGGTGGAAATGTATATGCAGAACATGAGATACATGGAGCATCAGTTAATCATGAAGAACTCATCTTTTGTACCGTCTCTTGTCTGAGAATCTGTGTCAGGAACATAGAGAGCTGGAAAGACTTCAATAAAGTATTATTTTATGTTTTGTCAAGAAAATTTGAGAGAATTACACTGTCCTCACCACTGTGTATTGAAGAATTCAGATCAGAAGCCAATTAAAGTCCCTACAGTCTGTTTTTAAATATGTCTTTTGTCCATGCCTTTTTTTTTTTTTTTTTTTTTTGCTGACCCCTCTGAGGAAGCTGTGCATTTTAAAATTAAGTTGCTTAGGACTTTTAAATAGCAGGCTTGTTTTATGAAGCAATTCTTTAGATGCCTTTAAATGTGTCTTTCAGGAAGGCTCTTGGCAGCTTCTCACTTTTAATACTGTAAAATAAAAAAAAAAAAAAGGAAAAAAGGGCAAGGCAAAGCCAGGGATAATTTCACAGCAGGGATTAAGTAGGACATCTCTGTTAGTGCGGATTAGATTGTCTGGGTACAGAAGTCACTGCTCAGATGTACTGCCTGTACGCATTGTAGAAGTCACAGTTCAGATGCCTTTTTAATTATGTGGAAATAATTATTTCTAGTGGATAATCTTTGCAGTACTTGATCCCCTATACAGTTCTGTGTGTTAAACAACAAGGCTTTGGCATGGCAAATGGTTATGTGGGTTTCCCAGATTTCTTTTACGCATATCTAGGTGTGTGTTTTCTTAGCTGTGCAGTACATGTTACTGATGAGTGTTATTCTGTTACCATCAAAATTAAGTTTTTCCCTTTTTACAAAATAGTCTTGTGCTATCCTTTCATGTTTTAGGAAACCAATCTATTTAGGTAATAAAGAATTAACCACTGTCCTCCTTAAATTAATATAAAGGAGAAATCTGATTAAATTTAAGAGACCAGAAGCATGTGTGTGTGATCTAATGCATCTTCAAATGGACTGCAAGTCTTAAACCTGGCTAGAGGTCTTATCCTCTGACACCAGTCATATCTCTAGGCCGTTGAATTACTGCTTTGTGTTTGTGTTTTAGAAATAAGTGTGCTCAAGTGCAGGGCAGGCCTTTGATTTTTTTTAACTTTGTTAAATTGAGCTGTGTTGTGGAATTCTGCTTGTTTTGATTTATAAAACTTGAGGTGTTAAACTCTGGTGGAAGCTGAGCTAGGTAATTGGTCTGAACTAAAGCTATGTGTGTGTTTGTTCAGTGCTGTCACAGATTTTGCCTTTCAAAAGATTAATCTTAAATGTTTGCTTGTATACAATGTCTGATGTGCTTTGAAATGGTAAGGAGAAACATTGCAGAAAAAGTCACTTTCCCATCACATTGGGTAAAATACAGAAGGAAAATGAGCAGTAAGGTAAGTAGAAGGTGTCACGGTTATGACAGTGTATTAGGCTGACATCCTGGTGAATGGTTTAAAAAAGATTGTCACGCAAATTTATGAAGAATGAGATGTTCTGTATTCCTTGGAACAATTCAGTAATAAGGCATTATAAAAAAAGTAATTATAACTTATGTGGTTGATGTGATAGTCAAATATTTGAAGTGATTTCTTTTTTAACATTTCTTATCCACATTTCAAGAACATGTTTACAATTTGAACTTTGTTCAGTTTGTGGATTTTCTCTCTTGAAGTCTGTGAATTGACTGCTTGTTTAGCTGCCTTTTAAACTGTCTTGTTGGCCTACTGCATAAGCAATGAAAAAAGAACAGTTTCTGTGTGTGAACTTTTTACATTGAATTATCAGAAAAAAACATACACAGCTGTCAAGTATTCATATTTGAATTGAAAAGTAATCTAAGCTTAAGTTGGTTACGTGTAAGACCAATTTACCAGATGAGTTTTGTTGCAGAATACTAATGTGGCAAGGGGAAAGAACAAAAAACCCACAAACAAAGCTACTTATGTATTTATTTTTAATTTCTGTGCTCAAGAGTTTTTGTGCTGAGAGATCGAGGCTGAGCGGGGAGGGATGTAGGGAGAGTCTTTTGCTTCACATGTTACTGAGACAAGGTAGTGTAATCTCTTCTGTTAGTTTCATAATCCAATCATGCCTGTTTTTTAAAGCCATCTATTAGGGTTTTGTATATTGATGAATTTCTTCCCTATGATGGAAAAAAAGGATGAATGCTCTCAGGAGTTTTGAATTTTTTTTCTGTTTCTTTAAAATTAAAATCTAGAAAGCAGCTGCTGTTAACAGAGGGAATGGGAAATATTTATGTGATGTTCTCTGTTCTTACAAACTTGCTGTGGGGAATACCTTGAAATTCAAGTTCATTTGTAACTAAGGATTACAGACTTTAACGTTAAATCCTCTATTATAATTCTCTGTAATTGACAGGGGTTTTTTTTTCTGGTTAAAGATTAATGTTATGGAAGATTTCTTTCATTCTTAACTTGTCGGATATTACTCACAATATCCCTGTGGTTTTTTAGTCTTTAACTGTGAAGTTGTAATAGTTAAAACTGAGGTTTCTTTAATTATCAGGGCTTATATTAAACAAACAATATTTCAAACAAAAAAGTAACATTTGAACATGGAAAGCCACTTCTATACAAAAACTTTGGGCTTTTTTTTAATGTACTTTCTAATTTGTTACGCTGTACTTTGCAGTGTACTTACTAAGGTATGCTTTTACTCCAGCCAGCCTTGGAGAGCTAAGACTTCTCCAAGGAACTAGCTGAATTACATTCAAACTTTCAGTAGTAGCTGAGCTGTTATTTGTGCTCTGATTCTGGAACTTACTCTATTGATAGTGTCAGCTGGAAAGAACCAGCTGACTTTCATTCCAGTAGCTGTATGATTTTTTTCATGTAAACAAAGCAAATGTTGATTTTTTTTATTTTTTTTTTAAAAAAAAGGACAACAGAAATCACTGTCCTTCAGAAGGCTGGTTGTATGCAGTGGATAAATTAATTTACAGTTCTTCAGCGTTGGAAACAAATGTGACTGAATTGATGGAACTGTTCACCATGGCTTTTCAGTCTGGTCCACAAAGTTGGTCCTAAAGGGATGAGACTTCCAAGATTTGTGATGTGGAGAAACAAGCATACAGTGCAGCACTTAGCCTCAGTATTGTATTTTTCCTTTTTTTCCTTTACCAAAGTGTGTGTCAGTCCTTAGGGAATTCTAATATGTGCAGTGGGATGCAACAAGTCAAAAAGGTAACATGTATGAACCATCTTCTGAGCCATTCCTAAGTATCTCAAGAAGTATACTTAAAGAGTATCTCATGTGTGATTTTTTTTTTTTCTTTGATTCCAATAGCATATTTACTCATCTCTGTAATGAAACTGCCATGTGGGAGGACAGAGTCTGGGATCCAAAAATGTGTATGTTGGAGTCCAACTTTTAAAAAATGTTTTTGCTAGACACCTGGCAGATAGGAAAGAATAGTAAAAAAGGCCTACTTTTTTTTTTTTTTTTTTTTCCTCAGCAGAAACGTTCTCTGCTTAAGGAATCCTCCAGGCTTACTTTTCTAGTAAAGGGCAAAGAAACACCTGCACTACAGAAGTATGTCAAATTGGATTGTTTGGTCAGTTAACGCATACATCATACTTCTATTTTCTAGCTTTTTCAAGAGTAAAAATTCATTATAATTGACTTCCAGACTTTCTCCTCAAAAAGTAAGTTTTACAAAGGTAAGCAACTTTGCTAATGAGATGTTGTGATTTATTTACTGCCGTTTAAACTGTTGCCTTAAATACAGCTAGTACAGGATCATGCACAGTTCCTATAATGAAAGTCTAAAAATAAGCTGATGGTGGGAGACTTATTGTAGTGGTCCTGTAATCAAGTTCCTTATTTTTTAACTGCTTGTATTGCAAAAACTGCTTAATTTTCTTAAAGGAAGAGTTTAATAGTTACCTGTTACAAATGAAAAATAACACTTTAAACTAAGTTATTAGACCAAAAAGCCAGCATTACTCTAAAAACAGAAGCATTTTCTAAAGAAATGCAGTTCAACAAGGGCAAGTGCAAGGTCTTGCATCTGGGTCGGGGCAATCCCAAGCACAAATACAGGCTCAGTGGGGAATGGCTGGAGAGCAGCCTTGAGGAGAAGGACCTGGGGGTGCTGATTGACGAGAAGCTCAGCATGAGCCAGCAATGTTCAATCACAGCCCAGAAGGCCAACCGGATCCTGGGCTACATCAAAAGAACTGTGGCCAGCAGGTCAAGGGAGGCGATTCTGCCCCTCTACTCCACTCTTGTGAGACCCCACCTGGAGTACTGCATCCAGTACTCTGGATGTCCCCAACATAAGAAGGACATGGACCTGCTGGAGCGTGTCCAGAGGAGAGCCACGAGGATGATCTGAGGGCTGGAGCACCTCTCCTATGAG